AAAATAATAGATCAGCATGAAAGTAAAATAAAATGAGAAGTGACTAGCTACCTTAATTAGATGGTATCAGAAAATGGACTGCTGTCCACATAGATAGATAGATAGTAGATAGATAGATAGATAGATAGATAGATAGATAGATAGATAGATAGATAGATGCTTTAGATTCTTATACAGTTTCAGACATATAGCATTCAACTGAGAATAAAACAGAAATAAAAAGAAAAACATTAATGGAAAAGGACTCAGTAGTTAGAATAATAGAAAATTTAGAAAGAGTGACTATTTTTTTCAGATGTATGTAGATCAATAGGTGTAGTAGGAATGTTAATTAACAAAAATTTAAATATATTTCATGCTAAGGTTGGCACTATAGAAAGAATCTCATATTTAACTGAACATCTTTCATGTTAAGGCAAGCATCAATCCTCATTCATGATGTATATGTATATGTATATGTATATGTATATGTATATGTATATGTATATGTATATGTATATGTATATGTATATGTATGTGTATGTGTATGTGTATATGTATATAGTGACATAGTGCCGGGAGGACATATGTGAAATCTGATATTCTAACTAATTTCTTGAGCAAGGATTTTTTTAAGTAACCTAAAGTAATTACTAAAGAAGTATGGAGTATGACATGCACTTAGCCACTTTCCTTTGACTTCTGATGTACTCATCTCCTAGCCGCTCAATCTTAGGGATCTTCTCTTACATATCCTTTTCCTCTAACACTCTGATGATTGTTCATATACATTCTTTAGCTGTAACTTCTTTTTTCTATTTTTTGGTCAGTCATGGGCCATGAACTCTTGGCCTGGGCACTGTTCCTGAGTTCTTCAGCTCAAGGGGGGTGCTCTACCACTTGAGCCACAGCACCACTTCCGGTTTTCTGTTGGAGATAAGAGTGTCATGGAATTTCCTGCCAGGGCTGGCTTTGAACCTCGTTCCTCAGATCTCAGCCTCCAGAGTAGATAGGATTACAGGCGTGATCCACCGGTGCCCAGCTTTCAGCCGTAACTTCTATCATGATATTTCATCGAAGCTTCTATTTCCATGTGCTCACTTGGTCAACGCTTCCAAACTAGAGCATGACCCATTCCCCTGGCATGTCACACTTTTTCTGCAGTTCTTAGTTTAGTTAATAGTATGCCATCAACTCAGTTAAAATCTTCTGCCCTTGAATCTCCTATTGTAAGAATTTATAATTTCTCTCAGCCCTAGTTCTGAAAGGTCCTTACAGTTTAGTATTTTCTCCAGCACGGTGAATAACATTTGTTCTTATTATTTCTGATTACTTCTTTCTTTTTATTTCCTAAAATAATTCTGTTTTTATTTTTTAATTTAATTTTATTGTCAAGGTGATGTACAGAGGGGTTACAGTTACATATATAAGATAGTGAATATATTTCTTGTCAAACCTGTTACCCCCTTCCTCATTTTTCTCCCACTTTTCCTTCCCCCCATTCCTCCCCCAAGTTGTACAGTTAATTTCCAACATATTGTTGCATTGTTTTGCCCTTTGTCCTTTGTCTCACCATTTTATTGTAACCCATCCCTTTCCTTCCCTAATTCAGATAAATGTATATACCATACCCAAAGTTCCAAAATCAAATACTGTGACAACAGGGAATAAACCATAGGGGAAAAATACAAAAGAAAAAAAGAAATTGCATAGTATATTAAAAACAACAACACAAAGAGAAACCTGCTGTTTCTATATCTTGAAGTTCATTTTGCCTAGCATCATCTTATATGATCGTATGTACATAGCTATTGAACTATGCTGCTCATGTACAATCTCCACCTGCCATTCCAGGAATCTCCCTTTCCACTCCATCTTCCAAACATCACCATGGTATCCTAGCCAAGGAAAAGCCTCTGTTAGGGTTAATGTGTTTACCTCTTAGGGTTATGTGTTTACATGAGACATGGGCCTGATCATGCCTATGACTGAATTGCCAACCAAGGAGAAAAACTAGGTTGTACAGAAACACTGAGATTCCTTATTGGAAATAAGGTTCTTTTGCTCCACCACAAAGTACCGACGAGAAATCTATTGAGTTTAGACCCTACATAATTATGCTGCACATCTATTTTTGAAGAATTCTGAAATGTCATCCAGTTCCAAGATGCAGTGATTTTAACAGTTTAATAGAAGTATAATTTGAAATTCAAAAAAATAGTTACCAGCCAGGCATCAGTGGCTCTCACTTGTAACCCTAGCTACTCAGGAGGCTGAGATGTGAGGATTGAGGTTCAAAGACAGCCTGGGCAGGAAAGTCTGTGAGACTCTTTATCTCCAATAAACCACCAGAAAACCAGAAGTGGTGCTGTGGCTCAAGTGGTAGAGAGCTAGCCTTGAGCTGAAGAACTGAGGGACAGCACCCAAGCTCAAAGTTCAAGCCCCACGACCAACAAAAAATAAAAATAAAAATAGTTACCAAAGAACTTTGTGCTACTAAGCCAAGAGCTTTCTGAGTGGCTCACATTAAAGGGGAAAATATGCTTGAATATATATAAATTCACAAATTTCACAAATATAAATATATTTTTGAAAATAATTACATTACATTAGAAGTATGCTTCAAGAATATTTTTCAGTTCATATATCTAATGAGCTGTCTCTAGTTTAATCCATTTATGTTAAAGGGTTGGGTTGTACATAAAGAGTTCAAGAATATATTTAACATAAAATGGTGAATAATATTATCCTGTGCCAAGCATTTAGAATTGGATGCTAATTATGTTTAGAGAAGAAACAGTGAAGACTAGTAATAGCAGAAAAAATGTGATAAAAGTAAAAAATTTAAACACCCATATTTTAGTTTATTTCTTTATTAAATGAAATTAATTCCTATTTTACACTCCACATACCATGTCTTTCTGGCCAATAAGTTCTTATGGACATTAGTAGCTCATAACCAATCAGGAGGAACAAGGCTCTACATAAGTAATTGCTGTATATTATAAACTTCATTGTCACATCAGTGCTAGTAATAAACTGTTGGGCAAGAATAGGTATAAAAAATGCTTAATTCTTGCTTTTTAAAGTTAGTTTCCACAAGGATAAAATTGGTGAATATAAACTTTGACAGACAAACAGCATGTGTGAGCATGTATTACATAAATATGGATCCATATATATTATATATAGATCCATATACATCTCATCAATGACATATATTTGTTTATACCGAATAATTTTAATAGTGACCCATAATAATTATTTTATATTCTTTGGTCTATCTATACATTTTATAAAGTAAAAAGCTTTCATAGTTATATTTAAATGTCTGTGACAATTACTTGCCTTGAAATAAAATTGATTTTTAAAAACTAAATAGAGGCTCTTTGTTTCTATATTAATTGCACATTTTTTTAGAATAAGAATATGTGTTCCCTAAATAACTTGACCCTTATATCCTGCTTCATTCAGTACCCATTCTTGGTTCTGTATACTTGGTATTTTAACTATAATACAACACAACGTGGAGAGGCTCTTTTTTGTCATGTCTTCTTGAGGTTGTAAATGCTTACTGTACTTGTATATTCATTTGTTTCCCTAATGTGGAGGGAAATTTTGCTATAATTTCATTAAATAAGTTTTATGCCATTAAAAAAGGATACATGTTCCCATAGAAATGATATTTTGAAGTGCACTGTGCATCTCTGGCTTACTTATAACTCCTACTAGTTTTATCATTAATCCAATTCTCATACTAATGGTAGTCCTTGAAACCTGTATTCTTGAAGGAGGAGTCTAGTAGTGTGGATGGATGTAGAGGGAAGAAGAAAGAATGCTGCCTTTATTTTCTTTCTACAATAGACCTACCTTGGACATGCTTTAGAAGAAATACAAGTTTCTTTGCCATCATTACATATTGTTGCCTCCCACACCCTCCAGTAACCTACGGCATTCAAATCCACTTACCCCTGATGGTGGGATGTATCAAGATAACAGGAAAACTCTACACTCTATCAACTAGGACTTTGTTTACCTGCATATATCAGAAAATAAATGAAATAGCTTAGACAAAAGAGGTGTAGCTATACATAAGCCAGAGCCTGTGGGTGGTTCTTGGGTACCAGAGATTTGACTCCATCTGTTTCTCTTTCAAACCCCACGATTTTTTCTGTCTTTAAAGTTACCTTAAAGACCAAGACAGTTGCTGGAGTTTTAGCCGTTCTGTTTGTATTCCAAGCAGCACTGGGTTGAAGCAAGTAAAGAGGCAAAGGATACTCTCAAGAATGAGTCACTCCTTATAGGAATCCTTTGTGTATTTATTGGCGAAGACCTAGTCATATGCCACATTTGACTGCAATGCTCCTGAAACGTGGCTTTTTCGATGCTTCCTCAAGTGAAACTGGAGCCCTTTTGTTGAGGAAGAATGAAAAAAATGGATATTGCAAGCAACTAGCAATCACATATATCAGAAATTGTTTAAAAGACCCAATTATTTCTTTTATGAGTTCAGGGATCAGGTTTATCATCATTTACTTTCAAAACCTAGAAGACTCCCCATCACAAAATATTTACTTAATAACAAAAAGATTTTCTGAATAATTTGTGTGTGTGTGTGTGTGTGTGTGTGTGTGTGTGTGTATGTGTATGCTAGTCCTTGGGCTGGAACTCAGGAGTATAGTACTGTTGCTTAAACTCTTCTGTCAAAGCTGGCCTCCTTCCATTTCAATCACACTTCTACTTCTAGCTTTTTCCTAGTAAACTGAAAACAAGAGTCTCACAGACTTTCATGCCTGGGTTGGCTTTCAAACTGTGATACTAAGACCTCAGCCTCCTGAGTAGCTAGGATTATAGCACTTAGCTCTGAATAATTTTATTTTTTAATAGCAAAGGGCCCTGAAAATTGAAAAAGTAGATGGAAGATGAACTACATGGTCATAAGCAACTACTTATAACTTAGAAACCTATGAAATAAGCAAATTTCTTTCTCTCTTTTTCAATATGTGTCTGTGTCTCTGCAGGTTGTGATTTGATCCCGGTGCAGTACCTTCGCTGGGGAGACCCTGAGCCCATTGCAGCCGTGGTGTTTGCCTGCCTTGGCCTGCTTGCCACTCTGTTTGTTACTGTCATCTTCATCATTTACCGTGATACTCCAGTAGTCAAGTCCTCCAGCAGGGAGCTCTGCTACATTATTCTTGCTGGCATCTGCCTTGGCTATTTATGTACCTTTTGCCTCATCGCAAAGCCCAAACAGATTTATTGCTATCTTCAGAGAATTGGCATTGGTCTCTCTCCAGCAATGAGCTACTCGGCCCTGGTAACCAAGACCAACCGTATTGCCAGAATCCTAGCTGGCAGCAAGAAGAAGATCTGTACAAAAAAGCCTAGATTCATGAGTGCCTGTGCCCAGTTAGTGATTGCTTTCATCCTCATATGTATCCAGTTAGGCATTATTGTGGCTCTTTTCATCATGGAGCCTCCTGATATCATGCACGACTACCCAAGCATTAGGGAAGTCTACCTGATTTGTAACACCACCAACCTAGGCGTTGTCACTCCTCTCGGATACAATGGGTTACTGATTTTGAGCTGCACTTTCTATGCGTTCAAGACAAGAAATGTTCCAGCCAACTTCAACGAGGCCAAGTACATCGCCTTCACGATGTACACCACCTGCATCATATGGCTGGCCTTTGTGCCGATCTACTTCGGCAGCAACTACAAAATCATTACCATGTGCTTCTCCGTCAGCCTGAGTGCCACAGTGGCCCTCGGCTGCATGTTTGTGCCAAAGGTGTACATCATCCTTGCCAAACCGGAGAGAAATGTGCGCAGCGCCTTCACCACGTCCACTGTGGTGCGCATGCACGTGGGAGACGGCAAGTCTTCTTCTGCAGCCAGCAGGTCCAGCAGCCTCGTCAACTTGTGGAAGAGGAGGGGCTCCTCTGGGGAAACCCTAAGGTATAGTTGTGGGACAGAGTGGGGTGCTGCCACTAGAGCTGAAGCAGTGGCCTTGGCATTGGCTGCCTGTCTTTTAAGTGGGAGAGGTCTAAACCCATGAAGCTGTGGAAGGCAGACCGGCCTTCTTGTGATTTACTTTTGCAGGTTAATAGATATAGATCTGCTTATCTAGGCCAAGGCTAGAAACATGCATCTCCAGATCACTGATAAAAGCTATTACATCCAAAGGGAAGTTGAAGTCAGGAAGATAGAACCAGGAGAACAGAATCCCATCCGTGAACTGTAACACACATAGCCAGGTCCCAAAGGGAGAAGTATTAAGAACTAAATTTTAGTTGACAAAAGCAGAATAAAGAAGACAGCTATTAAGACTATGATTCCAAGGGCTACATGTGTCTGACACTTGAATTTTTCTTTTTACTAAGCCAAGACAAAGTGTTGACTGTCCATCTCACAGAAACATGACAAAGCATTGTTTATATTTTAGTTCTTAATGGAACTCTCTGAAATACCTACAGAGCTGAAAAAAGCCAAAGTGGCTTCATATACAGTTGTCCTGAACAACTTCACAGCTTCCCAGTTCTTTGTTGACTATAGTCCTGTCCCAATCAAAATCAAAATCATGAAACAGCAGCTATTAGATAATTTCTATCTGAAAGTAATCTAGATCCAACAAACAGTGAATGATTTCCCCCAATTGAGGGTACTTCTTATGTTATAAATGACCCCACATTGGTCTGGGAAAGTAGCTTAGTGGTAAAGTGCTTGACTAGCAAGTAGTACCACATACACAGAAAAAGCCAGAAGTGGCACTGTGGCTCAAGGGGTAGAGTGCTAGCCTTAAGCAAAAGAAGCCTAGGGACAGTGCCCAGGCCACGAGTTCAAGCCCCAGTACTGGCAAAAAATATAGTAACATATAAATGACCCCACACTTGAAAAGATATTGAGATCATATTATCTGCAGCTTGAGGACAATCCTGACTTTTTAGAAAGGCTGTATAGATTGTGGTCTATTTGGAAATAAAATGATACTATTCTATAGATCCATGGATTGAAAATAAAGGTATCCTCTGTGTAAGAAGTACATATCAAAAAAACCAGCCCCAATAGCAGCCCTGAAAATTCTACTGATTGAACAGTATTTCTAGAAGTTACATAAATAAATGGAAGGTAAATATTCCTCAAAATAAAGGTAAATATCACACAACTATTTAAATGGGAGATAAATATATAAATAATATTGCTTTACCTATTCTCTTATACTGTCATTTAACCTGCATGAGAGTCTTAACTTTCTATCTACCCTACTTCAAAGCATGAATTTGGTGAGGGCAATCTGCTGGGATGCTAAAGTAATTCATAATATATATGAAAAAGTTTATCTATATTACTAACCTGGTCCTTTTACTTCTTACTCTTCTTTCTTATATCTCATATTTTCATCTGTGAAGATACGCAACAAATCATGACTTTGTATTTTTTGCCTTCTGCAATAAATCTCAGAAATGTGATGGTTTGCTAACAAAGGCCTTCCATATATCTAAACTACTGGCATGTATTCCATCTGCCTTCCTGACTAATCTATTAATTCAACACACTGTTTCTCTGAACCTTTTGCAAGATCAGCTTTTCATTTTGGCTGAGAAAATTTATTTTGCAGAACCTTCTTTTATACTCCTTTTCTTTGTACCTTCTTCAAATCCCCCAAACCCACAAAGGAAACTCTTCTAGATTTCAGAACAAGGTTATACGTAGTCTAAACATTGGCACTATCCTTTCCTCTTTCTGCACTTTACTTTTTATCTGATAAATTTGGATCATATCTACTTGTTGGGACTATATGAAATGAAATTTGGACATATAGTAAACATTTTAGTCATTCTAGCAGAATGTCCTGTAGGACAGCAATGAGTTTTAATACTGGCAGTAGCAATTACCAGCAATATTACCTTTGACAACCTCATATTATCTCTCTATGCTTCTCTGATAAAATACCTACCACATAGTAAAAACTTCTTAAGTATTTGTTTTTGTTTTGGGTTGCTTTGGGTTTTTTTGTTGTTGCTGTTGCTGTTGAGCATATTTTCTGTTGAGCTTGTTTTTCTCAAGGCTAGTGTTCTACCACTTGAGCCAGAATTCCATTTCCAGGGTTTTGTTTTTATTTTGTAATTTATTGGAGATAAGAGTCTTACCAACTTTTCTGCCCCAGCTGACTTCACATTGGGATCCTCGGATCCCAGCCCCCTGAGAAGCTAGGATTTATAAGTCTGAGCTACCAGCACCTCAAAATAGTATTTTTTATTTTGATTAAACAAATAAACATTAGCCAGTCTTATTGTATACCCAAAAGTCATGGGTGGACATGTAGTCAGGATAGTATTGCTAAAGAAAAGAGCTCCATAAAAGGCAGCACAATATAGAGGCATTGCTAATACAGCCTGTGGTTTCCAGGGCTTCTCCATATTGATGAAGTGCAGCAGCTCCTTACCAAACAATTTAGCATTTTATGTTCCAATTGAAGCACAGCAAGCTCCTTGGGGTTAGGGGGACTTGTATGCTCAGTTACTAGCTGGACCTAGATGGGTGTGTCACACACAGAAGAAGTTCAAGAATGGTTGCTATGTTGGATGAATGGACGAATTTGGAAAGTAGTAATGGGGTATTAGTATTTGCTTGTCTTCAAGGCTGTATATTACTCCCCAATGATCCTATGAACTTTTACAATGTTAAGCCTACAGTGTTCTATATTGCAAATATCCCTCACACTCCATTATCCTCATACCAGTATCTGCTCAAGAACTGAATCATTGATCTCAAGTTTTCCTATAGGGATCACTTTCCTCTAGCAATATTTGACTAGTATTTTATGTTCTTCTATTTCTACTTTGGTCAAAACAAATTTTATTGATAGTATTGGTAGGAAAAAATTCAGAGGACTTTGTGGAAATGTATTGTTAACTTGTTTTCCCTTCAGGGATGTGTAGTTCTTGATGATTAGATTTTAGTTAGTACATTTGGTTATCAGGGTCTCAAAGTGGGTAAGGTGGGTATTTTAGCAGTTGTTACATTTTCTTCCTGTGACCGTGGATAAATTCTGGTGTGTCTATGTGAGTATAGATGAGACAGGCTACGATCTGATTATGCCTTCATCTGGGATGTGTGACCTAAAACCGGATGTTGATATGAAGAAGAAAAATGGCAGAGTAAGTTATCTCCCTTTTGTATCATAACCCATGCCTGCCCATCCTTTCTCAGCCATATTCTTCATAGAAATGCAAACTAAAATGCCTCTCCTCTGTAGCTTCCATCAACTCCTAAACTAAATATTCCTTCTCTGTCATACAAAACTACAATGCTTAGAGTGTTAACCTAGTATTTATCCATTGTGGGATATAATTAGTCAGCCAGTTATTTATTTATGTGTCCAATCCACATTGGCCACTACAACTAAGGTTAAATAATGGGGAGCAAGTGAGCTGAGTGTAATATTTTCACATTTTACTTTAAATGATTGTCATTAGTTGTGTTTCTCAGACTTGAAATCTAATGTGCCAATAAGTTCATCTGTTGGGATGTGAGAAGGGCTTAAATAGGTCATTTTCAACGTATGTCTTTAGGGAAAGAAGCTATTATCTTGGCTCAACACTGCTATGTTTCCTTCCATCTGGGGTGTGGAAAGCCAAGGTGCCATCATCCCAGACTGAGCCTGGGTCTTGTTTCTGCATGAGATCTGTACATGTCCCTTCCTTACCAAATAGCAGACCTCAGTGGACAACTCTCAGGGTTAAAGAGAATGTGGTACATGCTTTAGAGCAAAGAATATACAGTACCCATAAGCAGAAGTAGAGTACACAGATAGCAGTAGAGACAAGCAACAGCCAGTTGAAAACATGCCTGGATTTGCATTTAGTTGTGTAAATTCCAATGAGGTATTTTTTATGTATATGAGTGCCAGTCCTGGGGCTTGAACTCAGAGCCTGGCTTTTTGGTCAAGGCTATTACTCTATCATTTAAGCCATAGCTCCATTTCTGGCTTTTGTTGGTGGCTAACTGGGGATAAGAGTCTCATGGACTTAACTGTCCAGGCTAGCTTCGAACCATGGTCATCAGATCTCAGCCTCCTGACTAGCTAGGATTACAGGCATGGTACAAGCATCCAACTTCCAACAAGGCACTGTTCTTTCATAAAGGTGATATACAGAGTGATTACCATTTCATAAGTCAGATAATGAGTACAGTTCTTTTTGACCAATGTCACCCCTTCCCTCACTCTCTCCCAGTTTTTCCCTCCCATCCTCACCCACAAGTCACATAGTTCATTTAGTTCATTTTAACATAGTGTCTAGTGAGTACCGCTGCATTTTCTCATCCCTTGTTCCTCCATTTCTGTGCCCCCATTAGCCTTCCAAAGATAGAGAAACAAACAAGAAAAAAAACAACAAGCAAAATCCTCTTGTTTCCATTCCTTGGAGTTCATTTTAATAATATTATTAAATAAAATATTATTTTCTCTTTCCTCAACTATGAAATGGTGTTTATTCATCTCTGTTTTGAGGAATAAGTCAACTTAAATATATGTTAAGTGCCTAGTATCAGTACATATAAAGAACTTAATAAATGGTAGCTAATTCTGTTAGCTTTAGGTTTAGTTTTGAGTAACAGAAAGTATATTTTAGAAGCTCACACTAATAGTTGTTTTTTTTTTTGGTCCGGTCATGGGGCCTGAACTCTGGGCCTGGGCGCTGTCCCTCAGCTCTTCAGCTCAAGGCTAGCGCTCTACCACTTGAGCCACAACGCCACTTCCGGCTTTTTTCTTTTTGCTTATGTGGTGCTGAGGAATCGAACCCAGGGCCTCAGGCATGCAAGGCAAGCGCTCTACCACTGTGCCACCTTCCCAGCCCTCACACTAATAGTTTAAATGTGATATTTCTTATGTTATAAGAGTTTTGGAAGCTTTTTCTGATGCTGTCCCAATGCTGCCAGTACCAACACCTCTGCCA